TGGCCCTTCTCCTCAACCTTGCGGTTGATTAGCTTCCAGGCCCCCATCCTCAATTCCCCGTTCTGGTTTTCCAGATGGCGCATTCCGGGTCATCCTGATGACCCGGAAACCATACGGTGAACTTAGCGAACTTAGGTAGGTCCCTAGGCTCAACAGCGCTGAGTCTAGCCCCCTCCCAAGGCACCAAGCTCGCCATAGTCATTTTCAGCCATTGCAGGCTCTCCTCGTTGAAGGCGGTGATTGCTAGCGTTCCCCCCCCTTCGACTACACTCCAGGAAGCGCGGTCGTGTGATCCCATCAAAGGCCCCCAGAAGCGCCGACTGGACAAGTAGACTAGACTTCCGGGTATCCATGGGGGACCACCACTGCTTGGATCCCCGACAGCGCCTCCCCATAAGTCTTGCCACGCTGTCCCGTGGCCTTAGGCCTCTTAGAAACAGGCCGCTCGGAAATCGGCTCACTACCGTCCGACTGTCTACATTTCTTCCCGAGTCCACTTGGCCCCAGTTCAGCTGCCTACAGAGTTAGAGTGGTACTCGAGCCAGGTTCCGTCACCGGCCCCTGTCCTTTTCCCCCCTCTGTCTTCCGCAGTTTTTTAAGTTTGCGCTTTTGCGCACCAGACAATTGTTTCCTACCTTCCAGGTTCAGTCTGTCGACTCCCCTAGAGATAGCAGTCACTGGTGTTTGCTTCCCAGTGGCTGTTTTATTTTCCGCCCGGTCAGCAATTACTGCTTCCCCGGCAGATGTGGACGGCCCCCTTTTTGGGTTCCTGTTTTTTAGATTCTTGGTCCAATACCTGACGGAAGGCTGAATACGATGGGGTGTGCCAGGTTCCCCAAAGAGATCGTTCACGATGCGACATTTTTACCTACCCCCGCACCATTCAGCTCTCGGCACAATGCATTTCCACCTTGGCTTGGGTAGCTGAGCTGTTTCTTAGTTTTCACTACTCTCCCTCAACCCTTCCAGCTTGGGTGACCCTGCCAGGAGTATGAAACTCCCGCCGGTTTAGCTCTTGGGTTCACTGTAGCTACTTAAGCCCCTCCAGGAAGGGAACTGTTTGTGGAATCCAGCATGTCCTGTGAGTCTTCAACACGAAGTTGCTTTAGCTCCGCCGTGAGCAGTATGCCAAAAAAGTGCTGATTCCCATCTCTTCCACAATTTCTCGGATAGTCACACAATGGTTCCGCATCACCACAGCAGTCACTTTGACCTCGTCATTTCGACATGTTCAACAGCCGACCAGAGTGTGGCTCGCTCTTCACCGATGTGCGGTCATATTTAAACTTTGTACCACTCCTTAATCTGTGTGATGCTCATAGCATCGTCACCGAAAACTATCTGCATCTTCCGCATGGCAAAATTTGATGCAGTAGCACTGCTCCTGTCGTTCTTTCATTTTCCTTGTAGTAAAAAAACCGTCGAGAGCACTACACACTACCTCACTCAAATGCTGCCGCTATAAACAGACGGCAAAAAATTTACACATGCGCACAAAAGTTCAAGGTAAGCCCATGCAAGCGAGCTTGATTCAAATCCATCAGGTTTTCACAAAACAAAATAAGGTCTGATACATTTCTAACGTACCTCGTATCTCTGCAGGGCTGTCATTCTAATTTGTTTACAATTTTCAAAATATGTTGTCATAAACCATGCTTGCTTTGTACAGGGTGGTACAATTTTAAAAAGAAAACATCAGGTAATAGGACAATTATTTTAAGCAAATAGTTTTATATCAACATAGGTCGTAGAATGGCCCATTTTCGAGATACAGGCTGTTGAAATTAGAAGAAAACATGACAATTTATGAATTATCTCTGGCAATGTTTGACATTAAAACTATGGATGAAGGTTGGGTCACTGGTTTATAGAATTAAAAAAAAATTCTTACTGAATTACAAATATGTCAACCAATACTGTAGATACGGGAGTTGGTACAACAAAACGTCAGAATTTCTAGCCCACTGACTATTCTGCAAATTCGATTAGTGCTCTTCATTGTCAATGGAATTCTTTAAGAAAAAAATCTCTTCTGTTTTGTTTGGAGGACAAACTTTTATATTCAAAAAATGTGATATATTTTTAAATTTTAGCACCCTGCATCTCAAAAACAAAGTATTCTACAACCCATGTTCATATGAAACTTATTGCTTAAAGTAATTCGTTTTATAATTGACATTTCTGTTTTAAAAATATAAAACATAAAAACATAAAACACACCACAGAAATGAGCAGAAAAAGCTTTTATAAAATTAGTTTTAGATTCATTTTCAGCAATGTTTCTTTCTTTTTATTAATTGATGAAACAATTTCAATATTTGTTATCTGTTTTATTAACTTAAATTGTATTTTTTCCAGAAGATTAATATTTCAAATAGATATATTTTGTTGTGTTAATATTTGAATATGAATACGACACAGAATAAACTGGAACCATCATTAACACTCATATCTACCACATAATTTTGTGTAATTATGTGCTAAAATAGTTTTGCAGAAATTTGTAAAATTAATACGTGGATGCAGATTAATTTTAAACTAGCTCCTCCATTCTAAAAAGAAATATGTACAATATTCTAATAGGCAAAGCAATAACACCAGAATTTGTTTATTTTTAAAAAAAGTTATAAATTCTGTTCAAAATTAAAACTGCACAATATAATTTGTAAAGAAGTAATGTATTTAAATGATTTTAAACAATATTACATATTTGGTAAATAACAGTTGAAAACAAAAACAAAATATGTTTAAGGCTGTGAGATACTTTTATTCAGTGCCAGATTATTTAAAAAATTTATTAATGTCATGATTTTCATTTAAAATCTTTTTCTCTGGCAGATTTAAATGAATAACAAACAACAAATTTTGCTGTTTTTAAAACAATATAATAGTCACTTAGCATTCCCACTAACGTTGCCTTAGAAACTAAGTCATTTTAAAACACTATATGCTGAAGAAACAAATTCAGTTTAATTTAGGATATTTTTTTTTTACCTTCATGTGGGTAGGTGGTATTAGTTTACAAAGAAATTTTTTAATCCTTGACTCAAAAAAAATTTAATGAATCGAATAGCAATTAAATCATTGGCTTTTTTCCTGTTTGCTAGATTTGTAAAATCATTGTCAGATATTTTCAATTTTATTTATTGTTTCTTGACAAGAATAACAAGTTTTTGGAAGATTTTTATTTGAATCATTTTACACTGATACACTGTAGGTTACATAAGCTTAGATATTATTGAGAAAATTGACATGCGTCTTTCAATTTAATTGGAAGTGTATTAAATTGTATGGTTTTAAATAATTTTAATAGGCCAATACTTTAGAGCCAAAGTTTCATAATTTTACACTAATCTTAAGCCTAATCTTAGTATTAATCAGGAACTTGGAACAGGCATTTGTTCCTGTTCTTTGCCATGGACAAACAAAAATGACGAACATTCTCTATATGAACGCAATCAGGATGATTTACAGAAAATGATCCTGTAAATAACAAGGCTAAGAACGAACTAAATTGAGAACAGAGAAGATAAATATTCTTGCCAAGAATGAAGTTGAGAGCAAAACATTCTTCAAGCATTATCCTTGAAAATGAAAACAACAGAGCAGTATTCTTTAATTGAAAATTAATATGGTTGTCATAGTTCCTGCCTAGAAGAAGATATAGGTTTTGTTACTGTAGGTAAATCAGATTCAAATAAAAGGTACATGGCTGTTTAAAGAAAAATATGTATGTACCATCGTTAAAGATAAAATTGATTGAGGTTCCACATGAGAAGAGTAATTCCCGAAACAAGGTTGAATAAATTCCAATAATTGCAAAATATCAGGAATAACTTTTAGGAAAGAAGAATAAAGAATTTGTGTCCAAACTCCCATAAAAACAAAGTGGATTCAATTCAATCCTAGCTTAAAGAAGACACCATGGTTGTCATAAAGGATAGCAGGGTGAGGAGAGTGGCTACTACTGGAACGACATGAGGACTAATGAAATGTGCATTAAATAAAATTTTTATTTTACCGTTCTGTAAGAGCTTGGACTACTTAATATACTTTGAGTGGGGGGTCATATTTATACAGAGGCTTCCTTTGACCTTTAGGGACACATATTAAAAGTTTATTTTTTCAAATTCCATCATAAAAACTTAAGTAAATAACGGCTCGCTTTAGTCACAGCGCATGCACAATGCTCTTTGGCGCTCGTTACTTTTGTTGAGTGGGTGTTGCCACAAACAGTACTTAACAAGTAACCTAGCAAAAAACTCAAGCAGTAATCAATAATCAATCAATGATAAATGAAATACACAAAAATAAATAGTTTGTTTACACATGATTTTTATAACACCTCTGAATTTGTTCCCGTCCAATATTAGCGTATTGACCTTTATAGCTCGCATAATCTCTTAAATGTGTAACCCGCCTCTTTTAACTATGTGGACCTCAGGATAAGGACTTCGATCAAAAACATTCAAATTCACAGTTAGATGTACTGTCTTCAAAATTCAAATGCGGAACAACAATTAACCTCCTTCACTTCGTCACCGTTGACCCACACTATCTCCCCACATGCACTGCAGGTTGCCGACAATCTTGTTACAAATACATGCGTATTACAGTGGCAGCATACACAAGAATTAAAGTACATTTTAAAAAACTAATTATAACGACTATTTATTAAGAATTTCAAATTCGTATTCAGGGGAAGACATACTATTACACTTAAAAGACTGACCCCCACTTAAAGTTACATTCTGTATACTGTATACAAATTTTCTTATTGTTTCAAGATACAATTCATTATTTAAAAAAATCCTAAACACACACACAACTGACCAATGGTCAGTAGTTTCTAAGGAAATACAACTAGGAATGTTATGTGACACGTCCTATATTGCCAAAATACATATTTAAAAAATTTGTACAAATTAGCGCAAAATTGTGGGTTAGTTCCTCTTCTCCAGCTAATGAATGTTTACTAATATGTGTGAAATAAATTTTAGCATTAATTTCGATGAAGTTAGATCTTGTCTATGGAGTAATATCATCTATTGACGGAGAAAGAGATCCTAGAAACTTAATGTTTTTGTTTAAATGGTTAAAATCATTTTTGACTACAATTCCACTGGGCCACCTAACCGAAGAAATGTTTGAGGTTATAGCATGTTACTTTCCAGTCGACTTTAAAACACCTCCTTCCATTGGGAGAGTAAGTATTTTATTTCTATTTCTATTTCAAAATATGATTATTGTTAAACAATCGTGTGGTAAGAAAAATATTTCCATTAAGTTCTCAATCTTTTAGTTCATACTGCAGATTAATTCTAGTTCTCGTAACTAGTTTTATAAGTGAATTAAAATTAAATTGTGCAGTAACCCAAATTATAACTTCATAATAAAGAAATTTCTAAACATTTGAGAAATTTATTTCAGTAAGTTAAATACTGTCATAAAATTTAAATAACAAACTTTACTAATTATGGAAAAACAAGATACTTAACCAATTAGTTACTACAATATATTGTACGCGAAGCGCAAATGGCTCCATCTGTTGTGCTGACTCCCAACTGTGCCATTCAAATGGCTACAGTAGGAAGCGACCTGCTATATTGCCAGGTACTTTGTTGCACGACTGCCACCCACAGAGGGCGAAACACAATGATTTAATTGCCATTATTGGGAAAAACAAGTACTCCGCAGGCTACATGCCCCGACCGGCATTGAATTATATTCGCAACACCTAGTATGACAGCTAGGATCGTTCGTAAGTTTTACCAACCAGGCACAGACCGGTTTCGGACTTATTGGCCCTCATCAGTGTGTCATTGGTACTGTAGACATTTGAATGGCACAGTTGGGAGTTACGATAGATGGAGTCATTTGCGCTCCGTGTACAATGTACCTCTTTGGCATGTGGATATGGCCGCATAACGGCTGGATCGTTCATCGGTTGTCTCACCTATGACACACTGATGAGGGCTAATAAGTCCGAAACCGGTCTGTGCCTAGTAGGTTAAACTGACGAACGATCATAGCTGTTGCACTAGGTCTTTCGAGGTATAATTCAATGCCGGTCGGGACATATAGCCTGCGAAGTAGTTGTTTCTCGCAACACTGGCAATTAAAATACTACAATATATGTTTAATTAATAAGCCAACTAAAGTTAGTTAGTAATTAATTTAGAACAGAAAACTAAGCAGCACTGGCTTACATAGTAAATGCTTAACCTTTAATTATTGCATATTAAAAATTAATTAAAAGAATAGTATTTTTTTTGCATAAACATGCTTTAAATAAAATAAAACACTTCCCACTAGTACAAAATAGAGATGGGCTATAGGATCTTTTTAATGATCCGCATGATGCGAATTGTATCAACATAAAGATCCGCATCAGGGAATCGTATTCACTGTGGATGTACAATAGCCTAAGAGATTGGTGTCAAAATCCCCCGTGATCGGATTAATGGCCAATTTTGTTTTTAATGTGTTGGTCGTATGTTGTATAACAGGGTTTCAGAGTTTGCTGACACCCCTTGTGGGGCAGGGGTTGGGTGTGCGGAGGTAAATACGAAAATCGCCCCCTGATCAGATTAATGTCAGCAACTCATAATATATATTCTAGACCTTCGGGGGAGTACGAAAATGAAAGTTGCTGACAGCTTAGTTGGGGCAGGGGCGTTTAAAACGGGGTCAAATGTACCACTTACCGAGCGCGCAAACTGTATGCGTAATCCAGGCGGTATCTGTTTCGGGTTGGGTAAAACGCATATGATCGGAGATTTTTGCTTTAACGGCTTCCAAATAACATCAGAAATGATAATTTTTCTATGCAAATAAAAAAAAACGTGGGCTTAATTTTTAATGCAATAAAGTATAAAAAAAATAGCAAAAAAAATCATTTTTTTCTTGGATTTCTCGGCGACAACTTAGCAACTATTCATTTTAGACAAAAATGGAATAGGAAAAAAAGTTTTGTAATTAAATTTTGATCAAGATAGAGTTAGTTGCAATTCGAAAAAATTATTATTGTTATTGCAAAAATCGGAAAAATCATTTAAATCATCACAAAAAAGCTAGTTTATTTGTCAATTTTTTTTTCAGACACTTGAATAATATCTAGGATCTTCATAATTTTCCCAATTAAACTTCTTACTGCATAGAATCATCACACCAAATTTCATCCAATTCGGTGGGATGGTTTTTACATAATACCTAATTGTTTCATTTTTTTTTTTCAAATTAAAAAATTTTCAAAATCAAATTTCTAAAAATCTCAAGCCTTTGAATACTTGAAAATTTCACCACAAAAAGAAGTCCTCCTCAAACTTTAAAATGGTTTTTGAAAAATTCAAATCGGACGATTAGGCAAGCCGTGGTGATTGTTTAATCATTTTCGCAATTTTCCTGCTTATAAACAATTGCAATAATTTAATGTTTTTTTCAAATTCTTTTTTATTTTAAAATATGGTTTGAAAGTACTCGGAAAGACAAATATTTAAAAAAAAACCTGATAATCTGCTCATTATTTTTGGAGTTATAGCCCGTTAAAGTTAACCCTTATTTACAGTAAAACTATAAGGATATAAGGGCTGTTTTTTTAACTAATAGGTTTGTCATTTTGAGTACTTTCCAGATATAAATTTTCAAAATTTGCAATCACGGGTGTCCCATTTAAAATGTCACTCAGATATTCAAGACCACGTGAAATCAATGAGGTGGGGGGAGCAAACACACAACTACTCCGATCTGAATTCTCGAGTTCAAAACTGCGACGCTCGGAAAAATTTCACTTATCTCAGCTTCTAATGGACCAATTTCGATGATTTTTTTTTTAAATCGATGTCTCGCAACTTAAAAAATTCAATTATCATATTTTCAACTACCTTTTATTATTAATTATTGGACTTTTGACATGCCGATAAACAGTTACCTACTTTTAAAAATTATTAATTTATTATGTTTATTTATTTACTATGTTAATATTCACGACCAAAATTTTTGCATGTTGCACTAGGTAATACTAGTAAGTTTGTTTAAATATTATAAAATTGTTTAAACAATAATTATTTAAATAAACAACTGAAAATTGGTATTAATTTTTAGTTGTACGATAAATTTCTAAAATCTTTCAAAAAAAATAAATTGTGAATAATTATAATTTTAATTTTTTCGTTTACTTTTAAAATATTTATCTAAAATTTATTTTTTATTTATATATAAAAAAGTATAAGAATCTTTTGGATACTTCAATAAACAGTACACACTTTTCATGATTTTTCAAATTTTAAACTATTTATTTCAATTTTTATTTACATTTAATCTAATCTAATTCAAATTCACATGCCTCATCAGTATTATCACAATCTATTTCGTCGTCGATTTCCTAGTCCTGCAACTGCAAAATATCATTTTCTAACAACTCTGAAATCTGATTGTCGAGTTCACTTGTACTTTCTTCCGACATATCCTCTTCAAAATCAATTTCGAACTCGTCTACTTCCACTGTTTTGTAAGCATTTTTACACATTTGCCCTTGGCAATGGGTGCAATACTCAGAGCATTTTTGAACTCGAGAATTCAGATCGGAGTAGCTGTGCGTTTGCTCCCCCACCGCTGATATTTCATTGATTTCACGCGGTCTTGAATATCTTTGAGTGACATTTTAAATAGGACGCCCGAAAATAATGGGCGGATCATCAGGTTTTTTTTTTAAATACTCGTCTCCGAGTACTTTCAAACCATATTTTAAAATTTAAAAAAAATTTGAAAAAAACATTAAATTAAGTATTGCAATTGTTTATAAGCGTGAAAATTGCGAAAATGTTTAAACAATCACCACGGCTCACCTAATCGTCCTACTTGAATTTTTCAAAAATCATTTTGAAGCTTGAGAGCTCTTCTTTTTGTGGTGAAATTTTCAAGTACTCAAAGGCTTTAGATTTTTAGAAATTTGATTTTGAAAATTTTTTAATTAAAAAAAAATTTAAACAATTATTATGTAAGAACTATCGAACCGAATTGGATGAAAATTTGGTGTGATGATTCTATGCAGTAAGAAGTTTAATTGGAAAAAGTATGAAAATTCTGGGTATTATTCAAGTGTCTGAAAAAAATTGACAAATAAACTAGCATTTTTTGCAATTTTTTAAATGATTATTCCGATTTTTGCAATAACAATATTTATTTTTTCGAATTGCAACTAACTCTATCTTGATCAAAATTTAATTACAAAACTTTTTTCCTCTTCCATTTTTGGTTAAAATGAATAGTTGCTAAGTTGTCGACGAGAAATCTAAGAAAAAAATGAATTTTTTTGCTATTTTTTTATACTTTTTTGCAATAACAATTAAACCCACGTTTTTTTTTATTTGCATAGAAAAATTATCATTTCTGATGTTATTTGGAAGCCGTTAAAGCAAAAATCTCCAATCATATGCGTTTTACCCAACCCGAAACAGATACCGCCTGGATTACGCATACAGTTTGTGCGCTCGGTAAGTGGTACATTTGACCCCGTTTTAAACGCCCCTGCCCCAACTAGGCTGTCAGCAACTTTCATTTTCGTACTCCCCCGAAGGTCTAGAATATATATTATGAGTTGCTGACATTAATCTGATCACGGGGCGATTTTCGTATTTACCCCCGCACACCCAACGCCTGCCCCACAAGGGGTGTCAGCAAACTCTGAAACCCTGTTGTACAACATACGACCAACACATTGAAAACAAAATTAGCCATTAATCCGATCAGGGGAGATTTTGACACCAATCTCTCCATCTACAAGTACAGTTTGTACTTGTACATTTTGTAAATGTGTGCGCTCGTCGCTCACTCATTCCCGTTTCATATATTGTATCTAGTATCACACTCTCTGTCGCGTATATTTTCTAATTAAATTTCAATATAAGAAAGAACTATCGCATTACTTGTTTCAAATTCTCTTTTTACAAAGTACAGCAGCAGTCAAAGCACAAATTGCTGTTGTGTTTTATTTATTAATTTATAAATTAATTTAAGGCGAGGTAATCACCTGTCAATATACCAGGACAAGATTTGCAAATTTCTTGCAATCATCTATAAATTCATTTTTTAGCAGAACCATGAACTTAAGCGGAAACGAAACCATAATATATTCGAACTCAAGTTGAGCATCAAATTATTTTCAAATTAATTAATGTTTAAATTTATTTTCGGTCAAACGATTCAACATTTAAATACAAAATACACATCACTGACAATACGAAATACACATCACTCTGACAATTACTTTTTACATTTACATTACATTACATTACATTTACAAGTTTGTTTCAGACTACACAATTTCATATAAATAATCATATCAATATTTAGTTTCCTATGCACTAAACTGTTTCTAATGCATCTTATCTCATCGACCTGTATCGGACACGAGAATTAGTTGAGACCAATTCATTCTCAATTCACATTGATGCGGTGATGAGAACATACGAAATTATTCTTATACCGGTATACGTATGAACTGATTCCCATTATGTGTGCGCCTCCCACTTACTCATTCCTGTATCGCATACGAGAATCAGTTGATACCGATTCACTTCACTTCAGTCCCAACTCACATTGATGCGGTGATGCGAAACATACGAAATTATTTTTGCATCGGGATCCGCATGAATCGATTCTCACTAGAGATCCGTATGATTTATACGTATGATGCGGATCTTGCCCACCACTAGTACAAAACAATTTTCAAAACATTGAGTTGTTTGTTGTTTATAGCGATGGGAGAACTCGAATGAGAAATCGAGTAGTCTCCGATTATTAAAAGTTTTCGAATTCTTTCTGAAAGTACTCGAATACTTTTAGTTCTCGATAGTTGTCAGACAAAGTAGCAAATAACACGTGAGATCTGAGTTCTCGAGTGCGGTAGGTATTGAAATGAATTTAAATCAATTACTGATTTAACATAATATAGAATGAATCGGAAAAATTTGAATACTTTTAGATTTCGTTAATTATCAAATATTCTCTGCATACACACATATTGCTTATGATTTTAAAAATATTTATTGGCAATAAAGAACATATTGAAATTATAAAAATTTTTAGAAAATGTATTTAAAAAACAGTAATTTTAAATAATTTTACGCAAAACTTTATATATAATAAAAATTTAAATCTATCACAATTTTAACGTGCGCCAATCAACATGCAATCTTCTATCTGGTGTTTAATTCTCGATTCTCGGAATAATCATCCAATTCTTAATAATAAAATAATAATAATTGAGTTTATAAACTGAATGTCGATAAACAGATTGCAGAGGGTATTGCTGAAAACTGTTGCTGAATAAAGATGGCAACAGGCGGGAGTTGTCATAAACATTTTTTTATAAGATAATTCAAAATTTCTTTGACATTTCGTATAAATACTTATTTATTTATCTTTTTAATACTTTTTCATATAAAAAGTTAGAGTTTGAGTTCTGCACTGCATAGTTGATCTCTTCATAATGGACAAATTAAATGTAAATACCACATTGAAGTCAGTGGTCCCCAACAGGTTTTTATTTAAAAAGTCATTTGTATTAAATTTGACTTCTTTACTCCTAAATTTTTTACAAAAAAAACTTAATTGTTGGTAATTATGAAGTAAACAGTTCTACTGTCTAAAATATATGTATACAGTTAAGCATCATTCTGTATTAATATGTTTTTTAATTTAATAAATGTATTTATACTCATTATTCCTTTCAGGATATCACAAGAGAAGATTTAGCAAATGAATTATCTCCATGCTTATGTGCCATACCGGAATTTTCTGAATATTGCATACCCCTTGCTCTAGAAAAGTTGGAATCTTCTCTTCAGATTGCTAAACTTGATTCCTTGAATTTGTTGGTAATTACATAATTTGTATCTAAAACTATATGGGGTAAGAATATATAAATTGTACTGTTCAATAAAAAAAAATAGATAATACAACTTGCTTTAATGAAACGAAAAGAAAATTTTTTTAAAGAAATTGGAAACGTACAGTAAGTTAAATTTTATATCTACCTACCTTTACAGACAGTATATCTACCTACCTTTACATTGTAGATTTTAAACTAATTCTAAAAATTTTTGTTATTCATCAAATCAAGTCATGTTAATATGCAAAAAAAAATACAATACCGTATATAAAAATTGTACTATTAAAAAATCATACCTCTGTTTTTTAAAATCAGTAAATGTTGCAAAACTTCAAAAAAATTAAATCGCTTAGGTAATCATTGCAAAATACATTAATATATTGAAAAAATTTTAGGATTGTTTTTGAAAAATAAAGCTCATTTAGCCATCGCTAGAAATTTTTAATCTGAAATTTTCAAATTCCCTCTGTTAATTCTAAATTAATTATAACAATATAAAATATTTATAAACATGAAACGTTTTCAGTATTTTGTGCAGTATGTATGGTTTTAAACATGATTTTAATAATGTTTGTTTAATTTTAGAGAAAAGGATGTAACGTTTTTTCTTCAACATCATATTTAACATATGCTACAGAAATATGGTCTCTGTTACAAAAGGAAGTTTTCAGTAATGTGGATGACTCGGTAAAACGGGAATGTTTAAACACTTTGACAACAGTAATAAATAAAATATCACTATCGGAAAAAGGACATTTTATCTCATTTTTAAATAATATTACGACCACCTTGAGAGGAAACTTGTTGCCGGACTCAAAATTATTTCAGCCTTCTATAAGCATATTACTACACACAGCTATGGGGTCACAAGAATCCTCAGTTTATATTGTAAAAGAGATAGTACCGATTTTAACTAATACTTATATAATTTCTCATGATCCTACCCAAAAAGCAGTTCTGCTCAGAACATTATTACAATTTGTTAAGACACATTTAAAATATAACAGTGAAAAAATATTTATTAATAATGATCATTTAGATACCGTACCTTTGTTATGTTTGAAAGCTTCTACTGAAATTGAAAGCAATTTGTGTTCAGCAGGTTTTGAATCTTTGGCAGATTTAGCAGAAATGTTATCTTTAAATGTAAGGCTATCATTATATAAACACTTACATGATGTTATTATAAAACCTGCGTCAATAGAAATAAGAGAAGCTATGCTAAATTGTTTAAAAAATATATCCTTTTTTTACCCAGCTGAAGTAAATGAGTTCGTTTTATATAAATCTAAAATAACTGATCCTTCTGTTCTTAATTTATATTTAGATGCCCTTTGTGTTATTGCTGATTTAGAACATTTCAGAGAAATCGTCACAGATTGTTTTATTTCGTATGCTGTTGAAGATTTAGAGCTCGCAATAGTTGCCGTAAAAAATACACGGAACTTGTTACAGCGGGAATGTAATAATATGAATCTCATAAACAAGTTTATACAAAAAGAGATTATAAACAAATTTATAGCAACAAAAATACATTGCAATAACGATTTAAGTTTTGAATTTCTAATGCATATATCTTCTGTATTAAAAATTTTAATCGGTTCTCTAGATTCCGAGTTACAAAATCAAATTTTATCATGCCAAATAAATGTGATTAGTAGTTACGAACATTCTGAAGAATTGTATTTATTACTGTTGGATGGTTTAATATCAAGAGTACGTAATGGCTTATCACCTGATTCTCGTATGCTTGCATTCTTAACAAAAATTTCTGTAATACATGGAAATACCTCGATCAGAGATATCAGCGTTCAACTACTGGCTAATATTATTAATAAACATCCAAATGGTAATTATAATAATACATGTTTTATTAAATTTTATTTAGTATTGGCATAACTTTTAGGTGACGGTTTGGTTATAAGTTTGGATAACATTAAACAAGACTGTCTGTATTATTTCAGTACTCATAAATCTAATGTAATTATTACATTATCATGGATCACAAAAGCACTTGTTATGAGAAATCACTCTACTGCAAAGCTTTGGTCAGATATGGTACGTACTAATCAAACTTTTTTTTTATAGGTACAACCACAGAAATTCATATTTTGAGAAGTATTATTTCCTAAATTGTATTTTACTTATACAGCGTATATCATTCTACTCTTGCTTTGTTCTTATATTATTATTCGAACTATACTGTGAATAAAAAATTTGTGTTCGTTGGCAAATATTGGGTATACAGGATTACCCCTTTCAGATAATTTTAAGAAAATGTTTTTGATCTAAACTAATGTTTTGAAATACATTCGACATAGATTAATAAAATTTGGGCTAATGAATTAACTAAGTATATTTAAAAATTTAGATTTATACAGGCTGTTACAAATTCGCTTCTCAGTACAGGGATCTTGGGAACAGTAAGAGATACGCACTGGAGGCAAAGTTGCGTAATCTGAGAACCAACATTATACCTTTAAAAAATCAAGGCTAACATGATTGGTGTTCGAAATATTTGAAACAAACCGAAATTTTGCAAATCCGTTTTTGTTTCATTTCAGCCTTGTTTGAGGTGATATTGAAAAAAGAAGAGCACTTTCTCATGGCCACTTTTTGCCCTCTATCGAATGGCATAATCAATTTTTATATGTAACATTTCGTCTTTCCACGAGCATCATCAACTTCATTATTTTTCAATATGGCCTTAGAAATTTTATTACATTTCTTGCAAACTTTCATGACCCCCAATACTGAAGACTTTTGTCTGAAAAAATTCATCTTCAATGTATTCATTCCAAAGGACTCTGCCGGAAAGGTTGCTATAGATCGGACTTAGCACATCATGGGATTCATCGGTGTACGTGATATTATTTCGAAGCTGCTCGTAGCCTAAAAACCAAAAATGCAGGCAATACGAGCGCATGTGCCTAAGTGCAGTCACCAGATAAACATGTGCAATAACATCTTATTCCGTTAATTTGTATGCTCGTCAACAAACTCTTTAATCATTTTTCCTCGCGATTTTATCGTCATCTTGTTGTTTCTGGCATAAAGTTTGGCAAGTCGCCGCAGCATGCATAAAATATTATGTTGCTTACAAATTTAAAATTGTAATGTTTTAATTTTGACACAACAACTTATCGAGTTATTTATGACCAAGTGATGGTAATAGTTAATAATAATAAATGTTTTATTGTAAGGCGTGATGGTAATAGTTTAAATAACTAGGTGGATTTCACACTTATACTCCACGGTGGAAATTATAGAGAGTGACTAATTGCTAGCTTTTGGACTAGTAAGGGGGATGAAGCGTGCCGGGAACGAAAATCCATTGGCGTGTCTGCGTAAAAGGCAACAAGATATAGAAAATATTGAAAAAAGATAATAAAATATAACATCTAATATTTTTTACGGTTTGCTATAACCGGCACTGATTCCTTTCAATTATTACAGCATTTTAAAACGTCCCAATTGTGTTTTTTTAATTCATAAATTTATTATAGCCATGGAATTAGACCCCTCGTCTACGCTTATGCTATGACGTTTCTCAGGACTGGTAAATCAAGTCCCTTTACACCCAACTAAAAAAGCATTTCCCTATTCCCTACCAAGTGCAAAAGACAGAGATAGAATATAGACCGACGTTCAGTGTAACTCAGTCTATACACGATTATAGATTCTATTGATGTGCGTAGCGAGCGGTACACAGATAAATATTATTGAACCGTATAAAAATCATTTTATATTTTATACGCATTACGGTAATAGTGTTTTTATATTATATATTCAAAAGTTTTTGAACTAGCAATGGTCCGTAGGCTCACAAGTTTTATGAATAATTGCAATTTATTTAGTCATAGTCAGCATGGCTATAGACAGGGTAGATCTATAAATACAGCTATCTATAATTTTACAAATGACATCATTAATTTTTTCGAGAGTAAATGTCTAGCTTTGGGTGTGTTTTTAGACTTAGCTAAAGCCTATAATTGTTTAAATCATGACCTTCTCATAGTAAAATTAGAAAGATACGGCATTAGAGGTCCGGCTCTGAAATGGATTGTCTCCTATTTATCAAACCGAGAGCAAAAAGTATGCATAAATCATAACGGCGGCGTGTTTAGCTCCGAAAAATTGAAGATCAATATAGGAATCCCGCAGGGGAGTATCATAGGTCCACTATTGTTTATTATATATTTAAATGATATTGCAAAAGTACCCACAAATTCAAATCAGAAAATTATTAATTATGTGGATGACACAAATTTACTGGTAGGGGCAGACACCATGCCAGAAATCATAACACAAAGTGAGGTACTTTTACAATTAACAAAAGACTGGCTTTCAAAGAATGGTCTCATCATGAATAATGATAAAACTCAACTAGTACTTTTTTCATCAAGTTACTGGCAAATAAACAGACCTAACAATATCATACTGGACAATCAGATAGCAGAATTAGCAAGTAGTATAAAATTTCTAGGACTGCATCTAGATGAACACTTAAATTGGAAAAAACATATAGATGAACTCGCTGCTAAATTAAGTAAAGTAATATATGGAATCAGGGTAATTAGTAAATATGTAAATAGTACATCTACAAAAATCATTTACTTTGGTAGTTTCGAATCTATTTGTAAATATGGAATTATGTTTTGGGGTCATTCAAAAAAGAATTATAAGAATTATTAATAATATGTCTTACATCCAATCTTGTAGATCGGTATTTAGGAATAGCAAAAAAATGACTATATCGGCTCTGTATATTTTTGAGTGCTTAATGTATGTAAAGAAAAACTGGAATAATTTTATGACAGACTCATCATCACAGTATAATACAAGAAATTTAAATCTAATGTACCCACATCACAGACTAACTCTAACAGAAAAGAATGCACATTACATGTGTATTAAATTATTCAATTGTTTACCAGCGTCACTTAAACAGATACAGTGTAAATTTATTCAAAAAACATATTAAACAATTTTTGTTAAATATTGAACCCTATAATGTAACTGAATATTTGGAACACTGTTTAAACTAACTTAGGGAAACTGTTGTGACACCATTTCGCTCTTACATTGTCATTGTAAATGTTAATGTTTTTACGAATTAAAGATTATTATTATTATTATTATAGAGTGTACGATAATTCAAAAAACATTGAAAACTAGATAAAATATTTAGATAAATTTGTATACCTATACTTATCTCTTTAAAACAATTTTTATTTAGTTTAGTTTTATAACAGCAGTCTTTGAGGCAAGTTCGCAGTTGTATTATATTCCACTGTTGGTTAACTCTTTCGCTGCGCAATACGTCTGAACGTAGCTACCGCGCCGTGCGCGAAAGTTTATCGCGTGCGAATATATACGTCTGGAGCAGTTAGACCACTTATAGTTTTACATTATGGCGTGTTAAATTACGATTTACGATAAATTTTACGATTTTATTTTGAATAAAATACAGTATATGTACTAAATAGAAACTGAAAGGAACATGAACAATCTTGGTATTATTACCAGTACCTCTTTCCATAAAAATATTTATTACAATCCAATTTAACTATTCATGCGAATTAATCCGTCTGGAGCAGTTTGAGCCCTATAAATTTTTAGCGAGTATATACGTCTGGAGTAGTGAAAGGATTAAAATTTAAAAAATGTATGAAAACAAAAAAAGAAGTAGAATTTGATTTTTTTTTTACTGTTGGTGATAAGGAAAAATGCAACTTTTGTTCCAAAATTATATCCTTTTAAGGAGGAGCAACTTATTATTAATTAAATATTTCTTTATATGACAGCGTTGTTATTAAAACTGTCAGAAGAGAAATTTTATTGGTACCTACCTGCGTTCATGAACGACGTATCATTATCATGTTAGCCTTGATTTTTTAGAGGCATAATTTTGGTCCCCAGATTACGCACTTTGCCCCCATTTAAGCTAGTTCATACCTCTTACCGTTTCCAAGAACCCTGTAATGAGAAGCGAATTTGTAACAGCCTGTATAAAAGGTTTTCCCGTGTTGCTTCTTTGGAAAGTGAATATCAAGTATGATGTGTGCAAAGAAATGGCAGACTATGTCAATAAGAAAATCAAATTAGTTCAACAGTTGCAGTCCATTGATAATGAAATAGAAGATGGGGTTCTTACTGCAATAATTTTTATTAGTTTACCTCATCATTACAATTATTGTGGTGCTGCATAATTATGTAGCTATGCTCATATCAGACTTGGTGAAAGAGCGGCTGAGACTGTTAAGTAATGAAAATGCTTCATCTTCTATCTCTAGGGAAGATTTCTAAGCTTGGAAATTAGCAGTTATATGTTACAACTGTGACAAGTATAGACATTATGCTATGGAGTGTCTGAGTTCAATATTAGTAACTGGCATTCTTGAATTCAATGAATGGTATATTAATTCAGAGGCTATGGTTCACATTACTAGCAGAAAGAATTGGTGAACTAATGTTTTAGTCCTGCATTGCAAGTCTTTTGTGATTACTGCTCCAGGTGATAAATTTAGGGTTGCCAGACGTCCGGATTTCGTCCGGACTGTTCGGTAATTAACTCAATTGTTCGTGTCCAGAATGAAAGGCAAACCGAACACAAATTTGTTCAGTAATTCTAGTAAATAAGTTCAGATACCATCGCCATCTGGTATCTTGTAGCTCAAGTAGCTGGTGTTGTAAGCGGTAGCTCTATGCTCTATGCGAAGGTTTGCATCTAGGGCTAAACAAACTGTCATGCTATTTCATTAACAAGTTTTAACAAATGAAAAGATCGCATCTTGTGTTGTGTTGTTTTTTTGTTTACTCGTGCATTCGTCTTGTGTTGTATTAGTAAAATATTTCCAAGCATTGAAATATGCAGATGGTATGTTCCTGTTTTGTGTTATTTATTTATTCTTAAAAATTCACTGTAATTTTAGCAAACCGAGGTCAGTGGTAAAACTGGTAAAAGACGTCTCTGCGGTTATAATGAAGCATGGGAAGAATCTTATAAGTGGCTGACAAAAGACCATGATTCTGATGAATTAGCAAAATGTAAAATATACGGTATCTCATTTACCATAAAATGGGACGGTATAGCCATCGTCAAGAAGCATCATAATTCACAAGGACATCAAAATAAAATAAACACGAAAAAGGCTGATACATTTATGGATTCATTCCTGAGACAACCGGGAACTTCTGTCGATACAAACACTATTATAGCTGAACTTACCAATACATTTCATGGCATACAACATCACCATTCATACTTGTCAATAGACTGTGGTACAAAAGTTAACAAAAAAATATTTTCAGACTCTGAAATTGTCACAAAGATGTCTTGTGGCAGAACTAAATCTGCTGCAATTTGTGAAAATGTTATCTGTACAATTATTACTCGAAGATTTAAAAAATTGTAGTTTTTTTTCCATTGCCACTTATGCATCTAATAAAGGCAATAGGAAATTGTTTCCACTTTGCATTCGCTTTTTTGATGTACATGTTGGATTAAAAGAGCGAATTTTGGATTTTTATGAAGATGCCAATGAAACTTCAGAGGCAATTTACAACAAACTCAAAATTATTCTTCAAAAATTTAATTTACCTATTGACAAAGTATCATCTTATGCTGCAGATAATGCTTCTGTAAATTATGGAAATTATAATTCTGTTTTTACGCATTTAAAAAATGATGTACCTCGTCTGATTTCGGCAAATTGAAATTGCAATAATGCTGCTAAATTTGCTGCAAAAATCCTTTCAATAGATGTGGAAACTTTGATAATTAAAATTTATAACGAATTTACTTCATCTGCAAAAAATGCTGTCACTCAAAGATTTTTGCGAATTTGTAGAAATTGAAGGGGTCAGATTCTTTGTCATGTTCCAACAAGGTGGTTGTCGCTATATCCAGCAATTTGTAGGCTAATGGAAAAATGGCCTGCCTTAAAAAGCTACTTTTTGAGCCAAGGCGAAGGTAATTGCGATAAATTGATCTGGAAATTTGTAAGCGATGTTGAAGAATCTGAGCTGAGTGAAGATGGAGTTTCTATCCCAGAAATTTATTTGTATTTTATACACCATATCAGTGGTTTGTTCCATAATGCTGTATTGGCTTTGGAAAATAAAACCTGCGCATCTCCCGATCTTTATGAAATTATTGAAAAGCTCATTGTCAGTTTGAATAAAAAATGCCAGAATAATTTTTATGGGTACAAAGCCAATGCTGCACTAAGGCGTTTAAACAATGCCACTAAGGCTAATAAAATTAAGTCTGAACTTAGAGAATTCTGTGACAGAGCGACCAAATACATTAAAAAATAATTTAGTTTAGAGAATTCACCGTTTAAGGTGTTAAAAATATTTAATTTGCGCACAGAATTTGAGTGGCACAGTCTTGATTCTGTCTAAGGGTTAAAACAAGTCTGCCAACTTTGGTATGAAACGTTGGATAACATTATGAAGAAACTTGATCTAACCAAAGTGAAATTCACTCCTTGCATTTATCATCAATATTAGATGGTGGTGTCATAATCATACCGGGCTCTATGTTGTTGATGTGATCATTTTTATGAATACCTAGTGATGACATAAAGTGCAAAATCAAGAATGATTTAATAGGAATGCTGGGAATGAAAGAAACCCTACAATTGGACAAATTTATTTTAAAGCAATAAATTTTGAGCATGTTTTTCTTGTTTTTCATGTAAATAGTGTAATTTTGATAAAAACTTGTGTAAAGTGTGATGTCAATACAAATTTTATTCAATTTATATGTGTGAAAGGATCGTGAACTCAAGGAACGACAGGAGAAATGAGAATTGCCAATACCAAGTGATTCTTTTGATTTGTATATTATTTTGTATTGTAGCAGACGAAGACTGGTTGATTTGTTTTCAAAGCACCTATATAACTCCAACTGTTACTACCTATGTACATGGAAATGCAGCAACTGTATCTAAAAATGCACATTCACAATGACATCTTTTATTAAAGAAAAGTTGAGTGTTGTGTGTACTCACAGCTAAACACATATTTGAGTTATTCTTAAAAAGTGTCCGAGTTTAAATGTCCTATTATTGAAAAACATTACTCAAAATTTTGAGTTTTTCCTTATATATCGTTTCAAAATTAAAAGATATGTCAAATTTCTTTCTGTTATGTTATTTGTCATTAAATTCTGTAATTGAACCCTTATTTGACTTACAATACCAGACCCTTCCATGCTTGGGCGGGCTATATACATGTTTGATAATTTGATTCCATTATTTTGTTACCAGTTGCCATTTTTTTCTACTTATATATATATATATATATATATATATATATATATATATAATATATGTTTCAGTTACTACTCTACCTTGAACAAGATGATACAGTTGCTAAAGGATTTAAAATTATTATGAATGATAGTTATGATTCTCTTAGTCCAGTGAGTTATTGCAAAAAAATGTGAGTATTTTTACGTTACATAAGAAAAATCTATTAGAATTTCATAATATTGATTGAACATTTTTTCCCAAATGCACTAATTATTGTTATTAAAAATGCAATATGATACTCTACTCATGATGTGGGACATATATCTAAATCTGCTAAATAAGAAAAAAGTGGTAAATTTGATTTTAAATAAAAATGTTTTTTGGAATACATTTATTATGCAAGGTATTTTCTAAAACCAACATTACAGTTTTAGGACCTTGTTCCTTAGATTACTTTTTGCCCATGATTCCAAAGATATAGGGTGGTAGATGTCCTCAGTTAAACTTGTTTTGATAATTGGTACAACATTTATATATTTGCATTAAATGTATCATTGCTTTTACTACTCTTTAATTTGCCAATCACTGACTCATTGAAAATAACTGTCATGGAAAGTAAATATAGTGCTACAATAGATATCAATAAAAGCAGTTGGTAAGTTATCCGTCCAAGGGCATAATTTAAAATGTATTCAACATTCAGTCATATTAACAAATCTGTTTTTATAAATTACAAGTTGAATTTATTATATGTATAATAGGCCGTCAGCCTGCTGCAAAAAAACTGTATGATTTCTCCACGTATGTCCTTCAAGGTATCGCTAATTATGCACGTGTTCCCTCACCCCTTAAATCCCTGCTCGCTATTTGGGCCGAAATGCGCGTACAAGGCAATTCACTATATTTTGACCCCCTTTAACTTTTTTGTTTTTAGTTATAAAAAAATGCGAAATACAAAAGTTGCACAATTTTTTATTAAGTTTTTGCAAATGATAGTAGAAAAACAAATGAAGTCCAAACAAAGTGGCCGCGGATGTTAACTTGTAATCGTTAGACCTCTTTCAGGCATTTATAAATAATACTAAATTATAAAGCACATGTATTTATTTACTAATAAAATATTTTTCTTACGTTCGAAAATTACAAAGAAGAGTAAAATATATTTGATATGAATCAATCAGCCTCTACCACAAATTATTGATATTTTTATTTATTAGATTGATTTGCAAAGAAAAATATAGTATCACTAACCAAAAATAATAATAACTTACTCAAACCAAGATTAATATAAGTAATATCGGAGTATTAATTATCACATCAAAGTGAAACATCGCTAACACGAATTTACCGAATTCATAAAACTTTATTGATGAAATTTTATAGATCAATTTTTCCTTTACATAATAATATGCGATTATTCGAAAAAAATAAGAAGAAAAAAGAAGAGTTAATCAATCGGTTTCTTGTAAATGTAATCATGCACGACCAAGAATAAATCCTAGTAGGCGATTACTCATCAGGAAAAAAGAATTTTTAAATATGTAGCGAACAGTTGTAAACATTTTCATTTTCAAATGATACTTCTATGACAAATGAAATCGATTCTGCATAAGCTGTAACAAATAAAATGAAATGTTTTTTTAACTGAAAAAAAGTAGATTATTTATTTGACTTAAGGTTTTTGTTTTGTTATTGTATTTCTATGTCAATGTTATTTACTGCTCAGTAAATAAGCATAATATACAGGGTGTTAAAAAAAAGGGTGTAAAATATTTAAGGAGGTAATAGTATGAACCAAAATAAGCAGAAAAGTCTCAATAAACATGGGTCCGCAAAGTAACGGTTGTGGAGATATGGACCACTATTCGTTTTTCAAACATTTTATTTTATTTTCACGTTTTTCATTAAACATTTGGATGGGTATTGTAGGTGACAGGTTTCTAGGTCCTGTTGTTTTACCAAACCGATTAACAGGCGCTGCTTACCTCAACTTTCTGCAGAACACACTGTATGAGTTTTTGGTAGACATTCCTTTGAACCAGAGACAACAAATGTGGTTCCAGCATGATGGTGCTCCAGCTCATTTTTCCATGGCCGTTAGAGAGCATTTACACCAAACTTTTCCACATAGATGGGTAGGAAAGGCCGGACCTGTTTTATGGCCTCCAAGATCGCTTGATCTGAACCCTCTAGATTTCTTTGTTTGGGGATATTTGAAGACATTAGTGTATGGTACTCCTGTAAATAGCCTGGAAGAGCTGCAGCTACGGATTAATTAAAAGTGTAAAGAAATCCAAAACAAGGAGGGTATTTTCGAAAGAGTTCGAATATCGTTGAGACAAAGATGTCGTGCTTGCTTGGAAATGGACGGAGGGCACTTTGAACATCTTCTGTAACTTTGTTTTTTGTTTGTTAAAAGCTTCCTTTGTCGGTTTATTCCTAATAAAATAAAATGTTTGAAAAACGAATAGTGGTCCATATCTCTGCAACCCTTACTTTGCGGACCCATGTTTATTAAGACTTTTCTGCTTATTTTGGTTCATACTATTACCTCCTGAAATATTTTACACTCTTTTTTTAACACCCTGTATAGTATTTCGAAATAATATAATTTATATATTGAATATTTTAATCCCGTCAGATTCTTATGCGGTTGAGAAACGTGCATAATTATGCCAATGTTTACCGACAAATAACAATGGCATACATGACACTATGGTTTGCAATACATTTGGTAATTCGCGCGGTTGTCTTGTCAGATAAAATTGATTTTGTTCCAACCCATTCGTATGCCGTTTGGCCAAACGTTTTGCATAATTATGTCAATATTTAACGAAAATAATGATGGTATACGTGGCACTTTCATTTGCAATGCGCTTGGTAATTTGCACGGTTGTCTTATCAGATAAAATCAATTTTGTTCCAACCGATTTGTATGCCGTTTTACAAAGATGCATAATTTGTAAATATTTAACAAAAATAAAAATGGCATACTTGGCACTATCATTGAAATATAACCTAAAAATTTGCACTCTTTTTTCGCGTATGCCACAAGGTAGATCCCTTACAAACTGTATTCCAATGATTTTTATAATGAATCTCATCATAATGGATGATATATTAAAAGGGCATACGTGTAACTATCATTGTCATACCTGTGCAATTAATACACAGTCATACAGGTGTGAAATTAGTTAGACCTTCGGGAACTGTATGCCCTTTGGAAATTGTGCACTTTATGCCAAAAACCATTGAATTTCGAATAGGCATACGTGTAACTATCATTTACAAATGCAATATTTATTTACACTTTTTAGGGTGTCACCCGACCCTTTGGTTCCACTCTGCCTGTATGCCGACCGTTTTCCGCTTAATTGTTGTTGCTAAAATACCGTTTAGTATGCTCGGGATACGTGTAAATATAATTGTAAAACGCGATTTTGTTTGCAATTAACAATTACCTTTACCGGTGCATGTTCCACGGTTACCGACTAATTGTACTTGTTTATTGGTCAGCATGCGCATAATTAACGATACCTTGAAGGGCATACATGGAGAAATCATACAGTTTTTTGCATTTCACTTAAAATTTCCAGGTATGTACTTCCAAGAACTTCTCTGAATTAACAACCCAGAATTTTTGCATAGAAGACGTTCGCAATCTGCCTGTATAAAAAATAAGTTCCCTGAAGAATTGGTCAATATACCCTCTTGATTCAACTCGGTAAAATTAACAGTTTAGGAAATATTTGTGTTTTTATGTCATAGAGCGGCGCCTCCACCATTTTTTGTTTTTAATTTTTAATTGGACATAATTACTATCTTAGAAGCGTACATATTTTTAAAATAAGAGCCTAGAATATCTTACTGTCTGCTAATGTAATTTTCACTAACAAAATTTGACAAATACACTACACATAACACAAAATAGAAAAACAAAACAAGAATAAGTTAAAGTAAGTTAAAAAAATAATTTAAAAGAAAGAAAACTATCAAAATACATTTTCAATATGGGCACTTTCCACCTCCACACATTTCCTAAATCTATTAATGTTATTTGTCTGTAAAAAGCATTTCTGTCTAATATTATCACAATGGTAATTAATTCTTTGTAGCAATTCATCCCTTGTCTGTACTGAGTTTGCGTACACTAAACTTCCCGAGAAATTCATCGGGTTAAAGTCTGAAGAACGTGGTGGCCATGAAATTGGGCCTACTCTCCCAATCCATTTATTATTAAACACAATGGATAAATAATTTCGTACATCAATATTGAAATGGGGAGGAGCCCCATCGTGCATGAACCAAATGATTCTTTGGGTGCCTAATCGAACATAGTCTAATAGTAGCTGCAAATTATTTTTCAAAAACTCCAAATATCGATGTCCATTCAGATGTTTCTCAAAACATGTATAGGCCTATTAAATTATTACCCTTTTTCGTGTACAAACAAATAACATTTGTAGCCTTAGAATGTATGTGAAGAAGGAAGGTCTCCATATTGAAAATGTATTTTTATAGTTTTCTTTCTTTTAAATTATTTTTTTAAATATAACTTATTCTTGATTTGTTCTTCTATTTTGAGTTATGTGTAAAGTATGTTTGACGAATTTTGTTAATAAAAATTACATTAGCATTAAAAATTAGAAACAAAAAATGGTGGAGGCGCCGCTCGATGTGCACTGTGACATAAAATCACAAATATTTCCTAAACTGTTAATTTTACGGAGAGGGTATTTTCGTTGGAAAATTCTTCAGGGAACTTATTTTTGATACATGCAGATTGGGATCATCATCTATGCAAAAATTCTGGGTTGTTAACCATTGGGCATAGTCCGTCTCTGGTGTTCTGGGCATAATGAATTTCACTTACAGCATCAAAAACAAGCTGTACGCATGTGTTATCAATCACTGAATTTGATTATGCTGAAGTTAATGATTTAGAGCAGGGGTCGGCAAGTAATTTTAGGTGGGGTCCGGATACTTTTGAAAATTTTTAACGAGGTCCAGAAAAAAATTCACATTTCTTATTTTTTATTTTAATTTGGACTCAAATTTAATCTGCTTACTAACCATTAACTCAAAACACACACAATTGTAAAATACTAGAAAAAATGATAAGATTGGCACTTAAACGTAAAAAACATTTTTAAATAACTTATTTGAGCAATTTGTACTTTAAAAAAATTTTTGGCGGTCCAGTATTTTACCTTCCGCGGTCCGGAACTGGACCGCGGTCCGCCAGTTGCCGACCCTTGATTTAGAGACTATAAATAAAAATAACTTTTTAATTTTCACCCTTGAAGGTCCATAACTTGTTAACGAAGGCCCGTATGAAAAAAATTTATATGAAAAATTGACATTAATTTGACCTCATCTATCTGTACTCGACTTTTTTGTATCAACTACCGAGACACCCTGTATATGTACAGGGTGATTCACTATATTTTGACCCCCCCCTTTAACTTTTTTGTTTTAAGAGATAAAAAAATGTAAAATACTAAAGTTTATTATTTATTATGAATTTTGCGAAAATGACATTTGAAAAACAAATGAAGTCCAAACAAAATGGCCGCGGATGTTAACTTTGTTCATTTAAATGGAAAACCCTGTATATTTTTACATATTTGGATAGAACGTTCCCTCTCGAGCATAGTCATATAGGGTTTGTTGGGTCCATCTAACAATAAACAAGATACTATTAAAAAAAGTAAAGAATGTTTTTTATTAAGAAAATAAGATATCTTGTAATTGTTATCCTACCTCTTTCAGGCACTTCTGCTTTTTTTCCAATTACATAAGGATTTACTGTATTTTGCATCAACTGTTGATGTGCGGTCTATGGGTAAGGTTGTTAGTTAACAAATTTTAAACTTTCGGAGCAATCATTTACTACTAGTTTCCTAGTTTCTCTAGCAAGGCCACCAATCCCTCAACATAATTTTAGTACGTTTTACTGAAATTCTACTGATCTAATTATGGAACATATACCTTATTATAATTATTCAATTAGTAACATTTGTTTTTTTTGTAGGTTATTATATCAACAAAAATTTTTTGTATTAGTTACAAATAAACTCTGTGCAAACTTCAGCCCAGAAAAAAAATCGTATTTGATTGCCACTGGATATCTAATAGAATGCGTATCTGAACAAGCATTACTCTTGCAATTCAAAAAGGTAAAATTTTATGTAAATTTATAACTTTTAATACATTTATTGTATTTGTGAACACATAAAAGTGGTAAATAAAAGGGTATTCTAATATGAGTTAAGAGAATCATTAGATTTGTTTTTATATGTATGAATAACTTACTGATGATGTACACAGGGTAGTTCTAAATTTCTTCTGATCTTTTAAGAAGAGATATGTTTTTTGTGATGTATTAAAAGTTGTTCAATATATTTTATTCATATTTTATTTGTCATTGCTACTTAATGCCTACTGATATATTGTCAAGATATGTCATACTTTTAAGGTTATATCTCACCCACATTCAAAATAAGTTCGAAGTATAAGGCCATTAGATATGGCCAAGATTGTTGACATTTTAGGAAAAGTTAGGCTGTCCGCGGCCAGTTGGCAGCAGGATCGACATTATTACATCTAAGAAAAGATATCTCAAAAAAGAGACAATTGGGAATGATGACTGAGTCGGACCACCAGTTTATAGAGAGAGTGAGAGAGATGGACATAGTGCGAGGGTCAATTCAATATGCATTCAATTTGCAACTGGACACTTTTCGTTGCCTTTAAATCCATATTGTTTAATACTGACATGTAATTGATTCCAATTATATTTATAAATTTTGTTCTATGAAATGACTAAAATTAATATTTGTACCAAAGGAATTTTTATAAAAATCAACTAAAAAAACGTGTCCAAATAAAGTAATGCCATATGTCCATACATCAAAAGTCCGTCTCTCAAAAGTTTTGACTATAGTTACAGGGTTATTATTTAAAATTTGAATATTACTCTTCCTCTCTCTAAAGTACTTACGATATTAACGACGATATTAACAAATAAAAACTAATAAAAAAAAATACTTAGTTACCTACATGGTATATCCTTGCATAAAAAGTATTGATTAACTTTGCCCCTAAAGCAATCCAAAAAAGTTTCCATCAGTCAGATACTTGTGAAGGATCTTAGTTGTTTACTAGATATTGTGGGAGTCATTCAATGCTGCATGAGGTTGTAGTCATATGCAGTATACATAGTAATCTCATAATATCAATAGTTAAAATTACCTTATTTACATTGTATACTTACACTTAGAGCATCAGAGAGCAGTAATTTGTGTGGTATAATCTAGTGGTAAGAATGTAGTAAACATTCTTACCACTAGATTATGAGTGACACATATTTTGCAAATATAATTTGGTAAATAAATAATTTATGTTTAAACAGTTCAAAACTTTTGATTTTCTGTATGAATTGTTTTCTAAACACCATGTAAACTTTTTCAGATTTTAAAGTTGGTCATTCTCTGTTTGGAAGAATGTAATGATCCAGAAGTGTTATGTAATATATTGAGAAGATTAAAAAGCTTCATTGTAAATAATGAGTCAATACTACAAGAAAATTTAGAAGATTTCTTATCAAGGATATTGAAACTCACAATCTATGAACATTCGATGGTAAGTAAGAAATTAAAATATATACAGGGTGTTCTAGAAAGTTGGGAACACACTTGACCACAAATTAGACCAAACTTCTTATTTTATAGATAACTTTATTTATTTTATTATAATATTGGAATAAACATAGTGTAACTTTAAGTGGGGTCAGTTTTATAGGGGTAATAGTATGTGTTTCCCTGAATATGAATCTGAAATTCTTTTTATATCTTAATTAAATAAAAAGTCGAGAATTATAATTAGTTGTTTAAAATACACTTTAACACTTGTATACATCATCACTGTAATCATATATTACAAATACATGAATTGTAGGCAACCTACAATACATGGAGATAGTGCCGGTAAACAGTGACGAAGCGAAGGGCGTCATGTTGTTCCGCATTTGGTGACTACTGTCACCAAATGTACTCATCTAACTGAATTTGAATGTTTTTCATCACTGGAAGCCATCAACAAACTATTTATTTTTGTGTATTTCATTTATCATTGAAAAAATAACGTGCGGCGAATGGTGTGGAATTGTTCATGCGCTGCAATTAAAGCCCGCCGTTATTTGAGGTTACACTACTCCAACGGCGGGGGTACCAAAATTACTAAAAAAAGGTTAAAATAAATGTTTACAACAGAATTTGAAAAATAAACTATTAATATGTGTTTCTAAAAGTCAAAGGAAGCCTCTGTATAAATATGACCCTCACTCAAAGTTACACCCTGTATAAGAAAATTATACATAGGATGTTATTTTTGAAGCCTAACCATCTAATTTTTTTCATATTTAATTACTTTTAAAATATTTTTATCATTTGTATATTTCATATAAAATAGATAAATGTTAGTGTTAAGTGTTTTGAAATATAGGGTGTTTGAGAATTGTGTATTCATATTCAAAAGTAAAATAAAAAATAAAAATAAGGTTTATGTGTACATAGCTTCTAAAATGCTTCTTAAAAGTGTTACAACCATCTCTGTCGGACAATTCTAGGCTATGTTCATATATATTTTTTTCTATTTTCTATTTATAGGATTACTCTCCTAAATATGAAAATAGAATTCTCGAATACCTTATTTTTCAGTACCTGCCATCCCAAATATCCGTTTTGCTGAAAATCTATATATAGATCTTTACAAATCAATTGTGTGCGAAATATTTAAATATTTATTCACATAGCTATGACTATCTAATTTAAAATTAGATAGTCGTAGCCATGTCTTTGTGCATGTGCGGGTGAGTGTATGTGTTTGGTAATCTGAAGTTTTGTTCGTACCATCGAAACATTAGTGGATATTCAGATTAAGGTAAGTTCAGATTAAAGAGTTTATACTGTATATGCACCTTTATAAAGCAAACTATCATTAATTTTCCATGTAGAAGTATACCCTTAAATATTCACATATTATTAAGGAACGCCCTGTATATAATTTAAAAAATGCAGTAATTCTCACTAGTCTTATTGTAAAAATTGACTAAAGCATTTCATGAGAAAGTCTTCAAGAAATAATTGCTATGTAAATTATTTGGATATCTAGTATCTCACAATCACAATTTCTATTATTTCTTAAAGATTACCGTTTTAGTCTAGTTATTCCTTATGTAATTGATATATATATA